TCGCACTGGTCAGGTCCTGAGGGTGTCAGACTAGAGGGGTTCAACCTGCGGTGATTCTTCTTAGTTTGTGTAGAAAGTCCTTTTTGTTTCCCCTTCCTTGACCTGGTCTGCCTTTCTGCCCTAAGTTTGTGAGCACCTCCTATGAACTAAGATTTTGTTAGGAATTTTCAGTACTTCTCAACACTGGCAAAAAGATGGTATATCTACAACTTACATCTAAAAATAGAATTCATGAACTGTAAGGTGTGAGTGTGAGTGACCTAAGCTTCTAGTACAAAGATTGAGAATACTTTAAATAAAAGACTAGGTTTTTTCAGTTACTAGTGGTTTTTGTTGTTTTTCTAGGTCTTGATGCAGAGCTATATTATGTGAGGAATGATCTTATTAATCACTATGCATTATCCTTCAATCTACTAATACCCAGTGAAACCAACAATCTGCATTTCAGTTGGCATGCTAAATCCAAGGTAAGCATACACATTAGCTTGCCTTAATTTATGAATGTCTTGCCTCGATTTGAACCAAAGGTCAATACCAATAGTTGGGCCATTTTTTGCCTCTTTCCTGTACACACATTATGCTAGGGCATAAAAGGATATTCCGTTTATTTTTGTATTTATGTAGCTAGAGGGAGCCAACTAATTGTACTCAGGAAGAAATTAAGATGGAAGAGAAAAGAGCATGGCTTGTTGGATACAGAACATGTGTAAAATGTTGAGAGCATTTTTTTAAAGTGTTCTTTGGAACATCATCTTTTCTGCTTCAAAATACATACATTTACAGATTGCCTCTGTCAGTTATGATACTGGCAGTGAGTTAAACAGGAAACAGGCAGCTGTGAATTCAGACCTTAGAAAACCTGGGGCACTTGTTCTTTGGATTCCTAGAAAAGATGTTGCTTGAGGGAGGAGAGGTATCTATTTGAATGGTATTTAAAGAACATTATCAAGTCCCAGTAAGATGGAACTGGAGTGTGCTGCAACACCTGTAGAAAATTTTGCCTGAGCATTTCCATTTTAAAGGATTTTGATTTACTTATTACTTCAGCTTTGTGGCTGAAGTTTTTGCAGTTGAAGTTGTTCAGTCTGCCTGAGGGTATATGTTTTTGTGAAGTTTGAATCACAATGATTTTGCTGGGTTTGAGTAAGTTAATAAAAAGTTTGACATTGTATCAATCAAATATCTAAAGGATGCGTTCTGCCAGAATTTTTGTTCGAGTCATTTCCTGCTATAAACTAGGAGTATTCCACTGCAGGCAATGGAAGCTGCTGGGTACAGGGTAGGCAGGCTCTCCTTTAGGACACTGTAGGCAACTTCATAGGCTATACAGGCTAGCTTCTGAGAAATTGAATTATTTTGTCCTTGGTCATTATCACAGCAGAGTTCTCCATTGCCATGAATAGAGCTGTTGATTTAGCCATGAGCTGCATGTGTTCTTAACACACTGCAAGTTACAGGAGTGTGCATGCACATGAATTTTTATTAGGACTTTTTCTGAGCTTCCTGGAGTCCCGGTTTAATTCCCTGTACATGATCAGCTAGTTAGGACTTTGACAAAAAAGTGCTTCATAAAAATACTAATTTTGTGGAGTGTGCGCAAGAGGCAGTTTTCAAAGGGCAAATAAAAATCAATTTGTATTGGATCAGACACTCCTCAATGAAGACTTCTCTGGGCTATATTTCTCTTTACATCAAGGCATTTTGCCTATAGAACAAGCTATATAATTAAAAAAAAATTTAAAACAAAGCGGGGAAATAACTTTTACTTGTCTTGTACCCAAAAATAAAAAAATATTCAGCTAATGAGAGGGTTACAGGGGGAAGGAGGAAGCATTCAGGCAGCGGCAAATATTGAGAAACTGCTATTGCAAAGATGATTGTGTAGTCTGTTGTGGCTTTTTTTTTAATTGACATGGGCCTTGATCCTTGTCATGCTCAGACATTTGTAGGGCCAGGGTCTTAAAATGGAAACAGAACCTTAACTGTAGTTGAACAAGTTTTTACCTTTATAGCCTTCTTATTACTCAGTTTACTAGGTGAGTGGTAAAGTTCTTTTTGATTTAATTCCCATAGATTTAATTAGGTCTCTTTTGAACATATACACTTACTGTATTGGAATTAGCCTTATCTTAAGAATTTTTAAAGGATTATTAAAAACAAAACAGCCCTGGGCTGAATTTTCAAACACTAGTGATTTAGAGTGCTTTTGGATGCTCAATTTGAAATACCTTAGCAGAGCCTTCTATTCAGAGTACAGAGCAAAATGCCCTCTGAAAATCAAGCCTTTTTAGGTGATGTACCTGAGGTACTTTAAGATACAAAATCAGACCCGAAAATGATTACATAAAAATTTCTTGAAGAGGTCTTAATATCAATTGTTTTGTCACTGAGGATTTTTAACCTTCTCTCTCATGATTTCAGGTTGAATATAAACTGGGATTTCAGGTAGATAATGCTATGGCTATAGATATGCCTCAGGCTAACATTTCAGTACAAGGAGAAGTCCCTCGTGCATTATCAGGTGAGTAAACAGGCTTTTTTAGCTTTGAAGGCACAATCACAGTACTACCATGGACATTGTTTATCTGGCACTCAGTAACTTTTCCTGGTTTTCCTGGGAATGCTTGCTATATAATTCCATGTAATTTTAGTTGTAAATAACACACAAAATACAACAATTATAATATGTCTAGATAATTCTGTATGTAGAAAATCTTAATACTTGTATCTACATCAAATGAAATGCACTGATACGCGATAAGCAAATTCTACTTTCTGAAGCATGCTATAAACAAAGAAAAATCAAAGTGAAATTCCAAGCCTTTCTGATTGTATGAATTTTTTACTTCTGCTAGCTAGAAATTTAGCAGTTTGTTTCTAACAAACATCTGTTTTCTCAGTGATTGTTCTTTGTGGGTCTGGCATGTGCATCACCCTGGCTCCTTGTTAGAAGGCAATTATAAATGGAAATGCTCAATAATAAACCTCTACCCCTATTGTTGAGAGGAAAAAGGAGAAAAGACGCGTCACATTCCAAGAGTATATACAATGCTCCTATTCCAGTATGACCAATAGTAACATAGATTTTAATCCCACTTCTTTAGTGTATAGATAAGTAACTTTTTAATTAATAAGTTTAACATGTTAAGCATGTTGTGTTGTAAAAAGTCAGATGAAAACAACGGTTGGATGTGTAATCATTCCTCTAAAACATGTATTTGCAGTAAAACTTCATTGTGTGGGATTTGCACAAATGTGTTCATCTGCTGCTGCAGCAGCAGTTAAGTCTTTGTACTCTTTAGAGTTACTTGTACCTATGCACAATAGATGTAAAATGCTGCTGCTTGGCTTTTTGTTTCTTTTTATCCTTTTTGTACAGGTAAGCAGTAGAGAGCCAAGCCTATTTCTGCAGTTGTGCTAATATCGGTGATGCTGGCACAGAGCCTTGGGAACAAACCTAGTCATATTAATTTAAGCTACAGATTTGCTGAGACTGGTGTGGGTACTCCCAAAAAGGCCATCATCTTGATGGTTGTAAAAAATAAAATAAATACACTTCTGTGTATTTCCAGGATAGCTCAGAATATACTGAGCCTCTGCAAAATGAGCGACTGACAGTTGTTTACCCATAGATGTTACTGTTTTTGAGATCTGTAAACTTACATTTTCTCTTTTCAATTCAATTATCTGAAAGCTTCTGCTGGACATACTATTAAATATTCCCAGATTTGGTTTGAACACCAAAATGAAATTTTAAGAAAATGTTTAAGTTAAAATTCAACAATATCCTGAAGCACTTCACAATTGCATTAAAAATACTGTTGAAATATGTTATAAACAAACATCTCTCATTTTCTATTTCCAGTGTTTCGTGTTGAACTCTCCTGCATGGGCAGACTAGACTCTGAGGTTACAATATTAATGCAGCTCAACTTGACAATAAATTCCTCAAAAAATATCACAGTCTTAAATTTCAAACGAAGGAAAATGTGCTACAAAAGTAAGACATCCGGCTTCCAGGATTCAAAAACTTTTAGCCTTAAAGTAAAGGGGAAAGGAATGAGGGAGAGATTATGGTGATGGGTTTTAGGATAAGAATCTGAGTGAAATAAAAGGGTTTACTGGAATGTGAGAGTAGAAGGAGGGATGGGTAAGATGTCTTGTCTTCCAGAAAAATAAGGGACGTTTGAATAATGGAAGATGATAAATTTACACAGAAATGGGAAGGAAAGTTGGTGGGCTTTAATTGAATAACTGGTATTATATTATGGAGATAGTGACTGCAGCTTCCTAATTATGACTGAATTTTGTATTTCACTGCTTATGTTGGGAAATAAATCTCCCCAAATTATAGCATTTTGAATATAGAAAGACTTTTCTGAGAATTTAAAAGTAAATGTATAAAGTAAGTTGAAATGTTCTTAAAATGGGTCACTTAAACTTGGCACCCCGAGAGTCGTCTTATGATCTCAGTAAAAAACGATGCAGACTTTTCAAACTCCCCATAATGTTAAAACTCAATGGGAGAACAAAGCTACACGTTTGAAGATATTTTTTTGGCCAGGATTAATAGTTGTTTGCTGCTTTTCATAGCTGAGCTCTTCTCTTTTACTTGAGTCGCAGCCATTTTGACAAAGGGTAGGTTTGGGAGTTCTGTAAATCATCTATTCTCAGACTGCTCTTAGCAGAGATGGTCACTGCCTTGGTTCACCTGCTTTTCATACTATTACAGTTTCCTGATAGCATTTGGGGGAAGAGGGTGAGTTCCTGTGCGCATGTGCTCATGCCCCTACCCAGCCTGGCTTCATTTCTAATTGGTTATGTATTTCCAGAAAAGTTTTTAGAAAATATGAACAAAAAAGAGTTGAGCTACTTCCCATACAAAAAAATAGTGCAAGGAGAGTGAAAGCTGATATTTTGCAGGAAAGTCATTATTAATGAAAAATTTTCTGGTGAAAATTAGTTTTGATGACTTATGGTGGTTAAATGGGTTCTTGTGTATCAGTAGTCCTTAGATTTTGAGAATTTGTGCACAAAGGTTTTACAGTGTCATTTCCCCACTCATGTCTATGTACCGGATTAGGTGACTCTCAAAACTGAGGTGGGGGAGAGAATCAGCTGAGAGCAAACAAGACACATTCAGTTGAGAAATAGAATTGTTGAGAGTTGGGATCATGGGGAAATCAGAGACAATCTGAAACAATAGATTTTTATTCAGTATGTCTAGTTAGGAAAACACATTTTTATAGCAATATGGAGCAGGTGATTCGATGTAAAGGAATTATAATATAACACGTATATTAGAACTTCACATTTTTCTCTTGTCACTTTAGAACTTGAACAAGAAGTAAAAACTCCGTCAGACAGAAACAGCAGCAAAACTATTTGTAAGTAATATTAAGAGCACTTATTACTATTGTCATAACTTTACAGGGAGCTTGTGATGTATCTTCTTTATGAAGGAAATGAGGTGAAAGCAGTAACATCTGTCAAGTTCAGATTGTAGAGACGGGTTTTTTGCAGTTTTCTTTACTCAGTTCTCCTGTTCAGTCAGCAATATATAGTGGGTGTGAGAAGTTGTTGTTCTGTGGTCAATGAGAACTTTGCCTGATAGCTCAAAACCTCTGGAGTCATGTGTCAAAGCTGAGGTTTAGACTTAGACTCTGTTGTGGGTGCCATATAACTTGGTGAAGTAAATGCACAGTGTCAGTTGACTTCAGCCCTTTTTATCTCCCCAACCCTATCCTGAGCCGGAAATGTCAACCACACCATGGTATTCATGGTATCCAAAACACAAGCATTTTCTAAAAATCCTTTTGGAACTCATTTGGCCGCTTTATGCAGTTTCCTGTGGTGTTAATTTTTTTTAACTTAATTATCACTTGAGTGTCATTTAAAAATGTTGGGGGGATAGAGGAAAGTATGGCTCTTTCTGAAGAAGTGGGTTGGGCCCACAAAAGCTCATGATACCATCTACATGTTTGGTTAGTCTTTAAGTTGCCACTAGACTATTGGTTGTGTTTTAAGTTTTTTCTAAAGTAGGAGTAGGTCTTGCCTCCTTTAGGTGTATGCAGATGGCAGCTCATTAGCTCCGTAGGGGCAAGCCTGCCAGGCAACCCAGTGGCTGACAAGCCTCCAAAAATCTGCAGTTGAGGTTTGTTGGTTGGCTAAGAATCACCTGTAAATGCTACTGCATTAAATAAGGAGTAGCGCAGGCATCTGAGATCCTACCCATGAGGCTTGTTACAGGCTGAGTCTGATTTCTCCTTGCTGCAAAGAGATGCCCGTTTATAACTCTTCTGTAGTACAGTTTCTTCCAGACTTTGGAAGAAAGAGTAGAGATGGTTAGAAGCAAGTGGCTGGTTTGATTGCACCTTTCCCAGTTCCCCCATGTGTACTTTGGTAGCAATAGTACGTTTGTGTGGGAAGGGATTGTTAGTTTCCAGTAAACAGCCTCACAAGACCAGCAGTTTGGAGACCCCTTCACTCTTTGCATTTATCTGGAGGACACCAGGATGTCCTTGGTGAGTATATATTCATTGGGTTGCTGGTCCCTGTCTTGGCCTTGGTTTAATGCAGTAGGATTTGGGAAGATTGTTCTTGTTGGAATGTTGTGATCTTTTCCTGAGTCTGCTTCCTCTGTGCTGTACTGACCCCTGCTGGCCAAAGTCTTTAAATCTTTGCTTTAAGCTAAAGCTCAATATTGAGACACATCAGAGCTCCTTTCTTTGATCCTGTGCTTTTAGACTTGAGTGAAATAAGTGCTAGCATTAGATTGATGTAAACATATAAACACATTCCTTGCACAATCACATGTGGACTCATTTGAAATTGGTACGTGTAATATATCTTTTGGAGAAAAATACATTTGTGACATTCTTTACCTTTCCATTTCAGTTGATCCTGTAAATGCTGCTCCCACCACTTCTACCCGTGTATTTTATATCAGTGTAGGAGTTTGCTGTGCTGTTATATTCCTGGTAGCAATAATACTAGCTGTCTTGCATCTTCATAGTATGAAAAGAATAGAGTTGGATGACAGGTAAAGTATACAATCTATTCATTTATAATTGAGAGACATTTGTGAAGGCTTGTATGTGTCTTGTGCAAAGAGAGACAAGATACTGAAAATCACTTTTCAAAACCGAGAAACTAAATTGTCACTGTTTGCTTTTCATAGTACCTCCTTTCCTTCCTTGTACTTAGACATTTTTTTCTTCTGACCACTGGGCTGCATAGCTGGGTTCCTTGAAGTAAGCTAGCAAAAGTGCATAGTACTGGATAAGTAAAAAGGCAGCAATCAGGAATGCAGGCAGTTTGGGTGCCCTCCAGTCAATCAAAATTCAGTGGCAGTCCATCTGATTTTAATGGCACCAGCTTGGCCCCATCAGTATTGATACTTAAATCTACTGAGCCTTTCAGGTTAGGATCCTATAATGTTCCCTCAAGTCTTGTTCATAATTTTACAATACCTGGTCCTTGCAGCCTATGCTGATGGCTTGGATGTTCTTTTAAATAGCGGGACACTGTTCACGAGAGTACATACTACAAGAAATAGAAGAGATTTTCAGTGTGGTCCCAGCAGAGAGATCTCTCCTTCATGCAACCCTTTTCAGTTAACTCTGGATTACCTGCTTCACCTGAAAGAAAGGACTGTCAGCTCTGAGAGTTCATCTGGCACCTATCTCTGCATTCCATCCTCTTATAGAAGGAAAGATCTGTTTTTCCCTTATCCTGTGAGTGTTAGATTATTGAAAGATTTCAACAGGCTCTTCTGACCTATTAAAAGTCCCCACACAATTCTGGGATCTGAATTTTGTTCTTTTGGTTTTAATAGGGCTCCGTTTTGAATCTACGGATACACACTCCTATTCTTATCTCTTCCTGAAGGTAGCATTCCTGGTAGCTCTCACTTTCACCAGGAAGGTAGCAGAACTTGAGACCTTAGTAACCTGACTATAAAGATACATTTCTTACCAAAGTGGTATAGGACTTTAATCTCAGAATGTATACTCATCAACTTTCTTTCTGAAGCCTCACTCTGAAAGATAAGGAAAACCTTCAGACTGTATGTTGATAGGATATACTAGCCTTTTACCTGAATAGGACTAAAGAGTTTAGAATGTCTCCAGTTGTTTGTCTCCTTTGACAAGATGAAAGGGCAGATGATTTCTCCTTGTGTATTTGTCTGTGCTGTATTACTAATATTCCACTACCTCAAAGAGTTGAGCACACCGTGTGTATATATGGAAGCAGGAACTGCACCTGTCAGCTGTATGCTTGGCTCAGACTGGTGCTGTTCAAATATAATAGAAGACTATTATTAATAAAATAAGGAAGGACTATGAAACTTCCTGGAGAGAAGTAATACCTTTTGTCATATCTCTATACATACCGTAACATTTCAACTAGGATTGAGAAAACTTAATGGAAGATAGATCAGTATGCAAATCAAATAACAAAACTCACTGAACATTAAAGGAAAGTAGTGATAAGGTTGTGGAGAATCAAATTGAACTGCTTTCGTTAATCTTGGTATTCTGGATAATCTTGTCAATTAATTTGGATATGCTGGAGTTGCTCTGACAGCATCTTAAGTATTTTATGGTAGAGAAGTAAGTCTGATGTTTTGTCACTTTTTTTATTTTAAAACAGCGTAAGTGACAGCAATAGTTCACAAGGTTTATCCCAACCCTCTACACAGACGACACAGTACCTGAGAGCTGACACCCCTAATAATGCCACACCAGTAACCAGTAAGTATTAATCTAATTACAAAAATGTACAGCAAGTGACCCTGGGCTGGCCTATTGTCCATGCTCTGATGATGATATTTGTATTGACCAGAAGGGAGGAGCATGAATAAGATCTGGGCTTGGTGTCTGGTTAGCCTGTACTTCCTGGGGCTCTGATATCAATTTGTCTGCCCATTTCTTTTTTGAGGTCACAAGAATGGGTCAGTCCTGGGTCCAGTACTAAGTCAATATTTTCATGAATGACTTGGATAGTGGAGTGGAGCATATGCTTATAAAATTAGTAGTAGATAGCTAGCTAGGAGGGGTTGCAAGCATTTTTGAATTGTAATCCTGTCCTTCAAACAATCGTAGCCAGTTAGAGAATTGATCTGAAATCAACAAGATAAAATAAAGATGTTCAAAGTACTTCACTTAGGAAGGAAAATCAAATGTGTTACAAAATGGAGACTAACTGGCCAGGTAGTAGTACTGCTGAAAAGGAGCTAGAGGTTATTTTTGAATGATTCAGTTTGGGATCACTATGTTATGCAGCTGCAAAAAGGGTAGGGGAATTCCTGAAAAAGAGATTAATTTATAAAATCACAACAGTAAGGAGGCATTGCCTCTCTCCTGGTGCCGTACTGCCACAGCAGGAAGAGGGGCTGAGCAGTGGCAGCGGATTCTCTGACATGGCTGTGCAGGTTGTAAAAGACACATCTCTTCTGGAAGGGTTGAGTGCATGAATCCTGTATTAAACAGACGCAAGGTGCTTTTCTTTAGGTGGCTAGCTAGCAGAGTTCCTTCTCGCCTCCCCCCTCCAAAAATATATTTTTTTATGCAGAAGTTTTGTTTGATTTGCCTGTTTCTGGAATGGGTGCCAGCAGTATGTTCCGGTTATGCAGCAGTGTGGGAGGAAAAAGCTTGGAGTAGGGAATATTGAGAGGGTTAAGGAAGTGAGGGGTCTAGGGATAGAGATAATACTAAAAGCGGCATGCAGTCAGAGATGTAGCAAAGGGCAAGTCTGTGACGGCTTTCCAAGCCGAGGAATGTAAACTTGATGCTGTGTTTCAGAGAGAGTTCCAAAAGGAGGTGAGGAATATGACTCTCCACATTCACAGGATGCTTGTGAACTGTCAGTGAAACCCAAGAGGAGGAACTAACGCCATGTTCCTATTAACCCCAGCAACATATTTCTCTCAATAGAAATGTATCTCCAGATTCAGCACTATTATACTGACTAGTTTAGAAAGAGTAAAACTTCAATTACTCTTTTGTTCTTTCTTGACAAAGTTCAGCTGTTTGCCTCAGCATGTGGCAGTTCTGTGTATATTGGCTGAGATGTATTGTTTAGCAGTGGGATAAGTTGATGTTTTAAGCCTATTTTGTTATCCTGTTATCTCAACTGTGGTGAGTGTTAACATAAAAATATTATAGTTCATTTTTTTAAAAAGCATGTGGCCAAAAATGTTCTCATGTTTATTCTTCTTGCTGCTGTTCTCTGATGTTACCCACACCACCAGTCTAGTATATCAGGAGACATTTTGGTAAATCTCCTTTGCTTTCAGAAATAGTCTTAATCCCAAATAAAATTCTTGCCTCCAGTTGGAGGAAGTTGTGCTCCTATGGTTTCTCACAACAGTTTTCTAAATTGCTTACACTTTCTCATCTAACAAAGTGAATTCTGAAGTCTGAGGTGTGAAATGTGAATGGTTAACTGGCAAGCATAACCCTTATTAAGTGATGCTTACTGGTTACAGTTAACCAGCGGGGGCTGGTGCAACCCAACTAGACGAGCCTCTGTCTGCAATAGGCCTGACCCAGTGTGCCATGGCCAGGGCACTCCAGGTTATCTGGTTAAACATAATGTTTAACCAGTTAACTGATTGAATGGGATTGTACATGACCAAAATAAACTTGAAAAAAAATATTTTTCTCTGACTTCGTTTGGTTTTAGTCATCTTAGGTGTTAGCAGTTTTTGGAGGAGTATGACTTTCAAGATTTTCCTTTAAACATTTATCCATGGATTCCATTTCTACAATATCATTAAAACCTTCCTGAATATAGTCTTCTCTTTAGAAGTCTCAGATGTCCAGAAGAGGGCACTGTCTATTTCAGATTGCTCTTATAATCTGTAGTAAAAAGTTGGCTTCATTGAATACTACCTGATCATTTGGAACAGAGCAATACCAGGCTTTGGTATTTCAAAAGGTAAACAAAGACAAATGGAATTAGTTGGTTATATATGTTAAATGAGCATGTTCACGCTTCAGAGGCATTTACATTCATGTTGCCTTCTCAATTTATTTTCCTGCTCGTATTTTATACTGAAAGCTAATCTTGGTTATTTACAGTTGGCCATTAATTCCATGTTCTTTCCATCTGTAAGTTGTATTGCGGGAAGTGATGTACTTGGACTCTGAATATAAGGGTATTTATATTGGTTTGTTTGGCTCTGTTGGCTCCTCAGGTTATCCTACATTACGGATAGAGAAGAATGATCTTAAAAGTGTCACCTTGATGGAGGCAAAAGCTAAAGTGAAGGACATAGCAATCTCCAGAGAGAGGATAACTCTTAAAGATGTACTCCAAGAAGGTATTTACGAGACTTTCTTCAAACACTTAAGTGTCATGAATGATATAATGAATTATATACTCTTGTTCTTTCCCCAAGAACGTTACAGTTGTTACTTCTGATCCCCTCATGATTTTTAGTAGAAGGTGTGGGAATGATTAGGAACTTGGAATGTGCCTGTCGTTTGTCTTCCTTTTCCCCCATGCTGCTGCCTCAGATACAGAGGCTGTGTGGGGAGGGGAGCCTGCATGTAATCATGAAGGTTAATCGATGAGCCCAGGCTCATCGATTAACCATGTTCACTATCACATCCCTAGTCCGGGACTAAAGGAGAAAGGCTTGCTTTGCCTTTTGAAACAGTCCAGGTTGTGTATTTATGGCTGCACACTGTCCTTTTAGAGCCTTTCATGTGGACTACAGGAAAGAGCCTGTGGGGGAATAGAAATCATTGCATGTAACAATAGGGAATCTGGGTTTTTTTTACTAGTTAGTATATAGAAACTTGCATATATTATTACACTAGTACAGTGTTTTCCAATTTTATTTAGCCACGGAACTCTTTTCAGCGTGAAAGAATTTCAAGGAACCCCTACGGTTGCCAGAGTTTTTTTTTTTTTTTTTTTTTTTTTTTTTTACCAAAAGCCTTGCTGAGTCCAGCCACAATTTGTCAAGCAAAAAAGGAATAAATAAATAAAGACCAGCTGAGTCCTGCCGCAATTTGTGAAACACAAGAGAAGGCTCTGTCTCTTTAAGAGGGTCGGGGGAGTGCTGAGTTGGCGTGGAACCCTTACTTTCGCTTTGCGGCACCCCAGGGTTCCGCGGCGCACCAATTGGGAAACACTGCACTAGCACATTGTGCTAGGCACTATATAATCATAGTCCCTACGCTGAAGAGTTTCCAGTCTACATAATGAGACAAAGGCCCAGTCTATACTTTCAAGTTATAATTGTGTAAATCAGCTCCCAGCTCTAGCTCCTGAGGGCGTCTACACTGGCAAGGTATTTAGTGCACACTAACTCTGCAGCTGCTGTGCTCTCAGTAAATCACCTCAACAAGAAGCATAGAGTTTTCTGCCCCGTAGCTACTGCGCTGGCCTGCCAGTGTGGACACTTCAGTTGTATGCTGCATTGTGACTGGCCTTTGGAAATGGCCCATAATCCCTACCATGGCCACTCTGCCCCTTGTTTTGATCTCTGGCTGCCCTGCAGACATACACATGCTCCCTGTCAGACGAGCCTGCATGCTGTGCTGATCCGCTCCCGGACACGGCAAACCAGCCAGGTGGAATGCTCTGTTGTTGAATGCAGAAGCAGGCGTCTGTGTGAGGGTATATCTGCACTCCCAAGTTTTGTTGACACAACTCACGTCCACACCTAAAAGTTGACACAACAAAAATCGCCGGAGGGTGAGCAATGTCAGAGCAGCACAGGAGCTGTCCCCTCTCCCTTCAGGGGCAGAACAGGACCATCCATTCCAATGGTTTGTGTGTTCCCCAATCGAAGCAGCTCGCTCATCTGTCAGATACTTCCTGGCACTTTGAAAGGGGAGAGGCACAGGCCTGCAGGGTACCAGAGGGCAAATCACTGAGCACAGAGCCACGAGATCTGCCAGTATCCATAATGCCTAACTCAGTTCTGTCAACAAAACAGAGTCCACACTGGCCCTTTGTCCATGATAAAGGGAGGGAAATAAAAAAGTCTCTCCTAGCAGTGGAAGTTTTCGGTGGGTGGTGTTCCAGACAATGGTCCCCTTGCAGTGTGAGTGCTCTCACTGGTTTGTTGACAAAAGGCAGTTTTTGGCAACAAAACTTGGTAGTGCAGACAAAGCCTGCGAGAGATTGCTATGCAAAGAGCCCAGGAGTGAGGGTGGAGGTTGATGTCAGGTTTTCCTCCTCCCCCTGCCTCAGGGCTGGTTGTTTCCTGCTGCTGTGTGAACTGACTCTCTCTCTCCCTCCCTCACACACACTCTGTCATGCTCTCACCTCTCCCCAGACTTCAGTTGAAAGCAGCTGTCAATGTAGGAGGATGACCAAGGAGCAATGGGCTTGGGAAACCTGCTTCATGTGATTGTGACTGCCCCATGCAGCATTGCAAACCTTTCTCACAACACCCTGCGTCCACTTGCTAGCTATCACAATGCACTGCTCTTTGTGGCGTTGCAAGAGCTGCTAATGTGGACATGTTCTATCGCAAGGAGCAAATTGTGGACACGCCACAGCAGTTTCCCTGCAGGGCTCTGAGAGCCAGTCTGTAACTGCCAGCACTTTACCTCTGCCAGTGTAGACATGGCCAAAGGGTAGCAGTGCAATGATGACAGAATTCCTGTTCAGTGAATTAGTTTTGTTCTTTTATATCCTTTCCCTGGGGCTATGTTAAGTGGAGTTGTAGATTGTCTAGAATGATAAAAGACAAAGGAAGGGATGTGTTGGGGTGGTGTTGGAGCAGATGGTGGAAGAGAATGTTCCCAATGCATACTTCAGAAAACAGTCTGCAGGAATCCGTGTGCAATGATGACAGAATTCCTGTTCAGTGAATTAGTTTTGTTCTTTTATATCCTTTCCCTGGGGCTATGTTAAGTGGAGTTGTAGATTGTCTAGAATGATAAAAGACAAAGGAAGGGATGTGTTGGGGTGGTGTTGGAGCAGATGGTGGAAGAGAATGTTCCCAATGCATACTTCAGAAAACAGTCTGCAGGAATCCGTGGGCCCTTGCTTTAAAGGCCATCTGCAGCCCCTGTACGGTTTCTCTCAGTCTTGGTTGCTCCCTGCACTTGGGGGAAGGCATTGTGCTCCAAAAGTCCTAGTGCTCTTGTGGGGTGGGGTGATGTCTTCCACACAGTTCTGGGCCTGGTGGCTTATGGGGGCATAGGCTGACAGTTTTAATGAGATGTTCAAAGTCTGTCTTAAATATATTTTTGACCAAATGTCACTTTACAGAAGTACCCAAACTTTTGCTACGTCCTACAGGAACATAATCTAAAATAACTTATCAGAAAACAATAGAATGATTTTCTGTGGTCTTTTCACAGGTACTTTTGGACGCATTTTTCATGGAATTTTAATAGAGGAAAAAGACCCCAGTAAAGAAAGACAAGTTTTTGTCAAAACAGTCAAAGGTAGGTTTCATAGTGGTTTCTTCCTCAGGTTATTCATATAGACTATGGCATGTTCATTGCATCAAACCTGCCTTTTAAAATGGTAGGTAAAGAATTACAGGTACATGAACGCTCTCATCTGCTGAGCAAGAAAGGCTGGTTGTACCCTCCATCAGAAACACCAGTTTCTGCACCCTTAATTTCTTTACTTTCCATGACTTTAGTCCTATGTGAGTTAGAAATACCAATACCTTTTTTTCCAGATGGTGATAACACACACAAATAATTGAAACATGAGCTCTTTACACTGTTTTGTCCCCTCACTATGCATTGAGTGTTAGCTTAGACATGCCATAAAAACTTTTTATATCTAAAGCAACGTAAGTTTACAGGTCTGTCTATTAAACATAGAGGAAGAAGAGATGGCTATTGCCCAAGATACTTCCATTCTAAATCCGACAATGATTCAGATAGCCAAAACATTACATGGCTGTTAAAATCATGCAGACTTGTTAAACTCACTTTCCCTTTTATTGGTAAAGTTCATATTTTACAGAAGCGTACTTTTAAGGAGTCATAATAGGATCAGCAAATCATGAAGTCTGAGGAAGATCTATCTAAATGCATTGTCAAGTTATTTGAAGGCCATGTTTCCGTAGTGCAGCAATGGAGCTGTACTATGGAGGTACGATTTCTAATGCGCACAATGTAGGCGACACCAATTTGTCTAGGTAAACCCTCCTGCTGTGGACTAAGCAGTCCCTAGTTTACTTTAACACGGTTCCATTTCAAACAGTAATACATTAATACAATTCATTAAAAGGCACTAGGGAATTGGTAATGCTCCCCAGCGGGGTCTATGTAAATTAATTAGTGCACTTCAGAAATTGCACCTGGGCAGTGTACATTGCTGCAGCATGTAGACGTGTCCTAGCCATACTCTAGCATGTCAGTATCTTAAAAGAAATAAACTCATACAGACCTTCCCTCCACAAATCTTAGAGGTTAACATACTCAGTACGATGAGACCAATTAAGTATTACATTGTAAAAGTTGTCTGAACAGCCGTTTGTGCCAGTGTTGCTTTAATTCCAACATTCTCACATCATTTTGATAAACTGGTTTTTCTGTAACTCGCCATTTTCCATTTTGCAATCTTGAACCCTAATGTAATACTGAAGATTTCCTTTTCTACCTTGGCTTTCACAGCAAATTGAACCTTTCCTGGATTCATTTTTTGACTAATGGCCAGCAAGCTTTTAAAGTTTAAGTAACCCGTTTTCCTGTAGCCTCTGTGTGTGTGTGTGTGTGTGTGTGTGTGTGTGTGTGTGGTTTTTTTTTTGTACTGTTTGTTTCTTTGTAAAAAGTTGAAAAACTTGTTTAGACAAACCTGCCAATCTGTGCATTTCTGCCCTTTGCATATAGAAAGGAATTAACAGGATGATAGATGCAGAACCTAAACAGGTTTTCATCAGGTCACAATATTTGTTTTTTCCAAGCAAATGCTTCAGGTCATGTTTTAAAAAAAATCACCACCAGTCATCAATGTGCAGCAAGAGGCAAAACTAACAATGTTAAGAACCACTGGGAGAAGGATAAATACTAAGACGGTAAATATAATGTTACTAGATAAATCAGGAGTGAGCAAAATCCGGCCCACAAAGCCTTTGGCTCCGGACCACCAGGACCCTCAGGCAGGCTCCCTGCCTATTGCACCACCAAGCTGCTCGAAGTCGCCAGCTGCTGGGGCCATGTGCCCCTATGTGTTGTGTGCCCCTTGCAGGGGAACTGGGAGGAGGGCAGCGCAAAGTCCGTCCCCCTGGGGGCTACACTGTCTGACTTACAGCAACACAGCTGTGTTGAAGTGGCTTTGTTGCTAAAAGCTGCGTGGTATAGACAAAGCCTTAGAGGCAAGTAGCGTTAATAAAAACGAACATTGGAAAAGGTAATTAGAAACGCTCTTTAAAGTCTTGAAGGTGTCAACTTGTGGGAACCCTGGAATGTTTGGCTTAAACTCCAAGTTGCAGCTTGATATGAATTCAGTGTCAGTCTTGAGAAGCACTGCCCATAATACAGAGGCTGTGATACAAGGGATTTGACTTACGGTTTCAAGCACAGAATTGCCCTATGGCCCAAGTAGAGGCAGTTAAGATCATTAGAAACAGTTGCATAGCTTAGCCTCAGTGCAAAGACTCCCCATAGGACTAGCACTACAGGTGCCAAACTGCACCTGCCAAATGTTGTAAGAACATGTATCCTGTGTCAAATATTGTGGATGCTGACGGGCTGTGCACGTGCTGTTTTGTGGATTCTGCCCAAAGTACAGCACAATTAATACAAGGCAGTTGTAGATCTTCCTTGTAAATAATTCTAGTTCCTCAAGGGGCATTATCAAAACCATCCTTCTTACATGATTATCAGACATTCAAAGCTGGCTGGCTGGCTCGCTGTGGAAACTTCTGGATACTCAGAATTCTTGACAATTAGGCTGCTGCTGATGGTTCCTAAGTATGCATTTACGACCCTAATTGTAGCACCCATTTTTCAATGTCTTGGCCAGTGTAACTAAAGAAAAAAGCTAGTAGAATGAATTATAATAACTGCAACAGGGCAAGTGCATTATTTCTGTCCATTTATCCTTTTGACAATGAGCCATTCTTCCACAGAAACTTTGGAAGCAGTAGATCAAATTCTTTTGAGGCACAGCTGATAGAAATCCAGAATAATTGTATTGACTCTCATGTGGTTCCTTTCAATTGTCATTGGTGTAACTAGTTGCAGGATTTGTACTCCTATTGTTTGTCTTGAATGTGTTGCATTTGTATAATTTTGTTTTCCTGCAGAAACAGGTTGATTTATAGAAAACAAGGAAATAATATTGATAAGAATACACAATACGGATGCTGGAACTGTTTCACAAGATAAGATTTGGATTTCCGTATATACTTGAATGGGAGTCAATCATCCTTTGGGTGCCTTACCACTAAAATATAGTTCTTTCTGAGCTGCAAGGAAACAGTGGAACACACAGGAGTTTTTCAGTGAGCCATTGTTGGCTTTTGTGATGGAGAAGGGCATTGACAAAGCACTATACTGTCTGCAACACAACAATGTATTGCGAAGAGATGGATGAATTTATTGCTTCTTCAGGAGTTTTTCTAAACAGGCTTAACTTGTTTGGTAGATTTCACAGTTAGTTTAAAGAACTTTGACCTGGAACATAAGTTTATTGCAATGTAATTTCTGATTGAAAACAAAACAAAAACTATGTTATTGCTGAGTCGGTTCTTCTTTTCTATGTGAGTAAGCAAACAGGTTTTAAAATAAAACATAGAATCATAGAACACTAAAACTGGAAGGGACCGGACCAAGCACCATCTAGACCATCCCAGATAGATATCTATCCACCCTGCTCTTAAATCTCTCCAGTGACAGAGAATCCTCTGCCTCCCTGGGCAATTTATTCCAGTGTTGAACCACCCTGACAATTATGAAATTTTCCTAATGTCCAACCAAAACTTCCCTTGCTGCAATTTAAGCCCATTGCTTCTTGGCCTGCCATCAGAGGTCAAGGAGAACAATTTTTCTCCCTCCTCCTTATTGAAACCCTTTTAGGTACTTGAAAACTGCTAACGTGTCGCTTCTCAGTCTTCTCTTTTCTAAACTAAACAAAACCAGTTATTTCAGTCTTCTCTCATAGGTCATGTTCTCTAGACCTTTAATCATTTTTTAGAGGGGTAGTTGTGTTAGTCTGAATCTGCAAAAGCGGCGAGGAGTCCTTAGAGTAACAAATGTGTTGGAGCATAAGCTTTTGTGGGCAAAGACTCACTTCGTCAGATGCATCTGCAAAAACGAATGCATCTGATGAAGTGGGTCTTTGCCCACGAAAGCATATGCGCCAACACTTCTGTTAGTCTATAAGGTGCCACAGGGCTCCTCGCCGCTTAATCATTTTTGTTGCTCTTCTCTGGACCTTGTCCAATTTTTCCACATCTTTCTTGAACTGTGGTGCCCAGAACTGGACACACTACTCCAACTGAGACCTAATCAATGCAGAGGAAAGCTCACAACGCCCTTGCTAACACTCCTATAACATAACATTCAACAACTTCATTCCTCACAGTGTCATAGTTCTGGCACTGAACTGAACTGTAGTGGGAGTGAAATTGGTAATTGAAGTTGTCTGGAGTTGAGCAGTGGATGGATGGTTGGGGCTGCTCATTTTGAGCAGCCAGATACCGGGGCAATAAAGGAGTTCAGCAAGGAGCTATTCTGATTAGGGAGGCTTTGAAGGAGCATTTTGACAGTGAACTTCATTCAGTATTGCATCTTTGTATTGCATTTGGCCAGGCAGTGTTTACTTGAACGACCCCTGTAATGCTATCCTTCCTGAGCTTTAGTTGTACTGAGCTAATGTTCCTGCCCACAGTCACTGTCTGAATTTTAGTAGCAACTACTGTGTGTGACACACACTCATTTTGTTTAAAAGACTTCACTCTAACTCAAGGGTAAAACATGTTTATTTTGCAAACCAAGGACATGGCAATGAGGGTCAGCCTCTCAGCATGTGTAACTCCAGCGTTCATCATGCAACCAGTCTCTTGGGGGGGGAGTGCAAGGGACACTGCAGAAGAACAGGAACATTTGAGCAATGTTTTCAGACTTTGGGGAGAGCATGGAACAGTGTTTTGTATGGGCTGAGGGGGAGTACTGCATGGGGTGTAAGTGTCTCTGTCTGGCCCTCCAGTAGTGTTGTCATCCTGCTCCTGTTTCCTTCTGGTCTGAGTTTTTCATTAACTGTCTCCCTCCACACTCTTGTTTTTTCCATATGCTGTATCTGTTGACTACAGCACTTGGCAAAATGTTTCCCCCTTATTCCGGACTCACCACCTTACCTGACTGAGGCACTGCATCAGCGAGTAGGAGTCGTTCTCGTCCATCCTCCCTGTTGAAAGAAAAGGTCTGGGTAGGGACCATCGCATTGGGGAGGTAAAATCATGGAATGTTGTTCCAAGAAGGAGGATTTCTAGGAACAGATGGGATCCATCTAATAGAGAGGGGGAAGAGCATCTTTGCAGGAAGGCTTGCTAACTTAGTGAAGAAGGCTTTAAACTAGGTTAATCGGGAATGGTGCTCTAAGCTCTGCAGGAAGTAGGGATGCGGGATACCAGGAGGAAGCACAGGGAAAGCCGCCTGGTCCCTACTGAGAAAGTAGGGCAATCTGCTAGTTATTAAAGGTGCCTGTACAAGAATGCAAGCAGCCTGGGAAATAAACAGGAATGAATGGAAATCCTGACCGTCAAGGAGCTGTGGTGTGACTGGGATAACAAGACGTGGTAGGGTAACTCACATAACAGGATGGGTATAAACGATTCGGGAAGGTAGAGGCTGTAGGAGCAGTAGGATTGCTCAGAGCTTCAGTATGAAATTGGAGAAAAGCCTGTTGAGCATCTTGGGGTTAAGATAGAGGCAACAGCAACAAGGGTGATGTCGGGTTGGCGTCTGTTCTCAACCACCAGACCAGGAGGTTTTTATTTTTGCCAGTTTTATTTAAAAAGAAAGCAAGCCCTTGTGTTCGTTTTCAGAATGAATAATAATCACAATTTCTTTTTGTTTTCTCCTTTTAGATCAAGCCTCAGAAGTGCAAGTGACAATGATGCTGACAGAAAGCTGTAAACTCAGAGGTCTTCATCACAGGTGAATACTGCTACTGTAAAGCTTCTTAGCATAAGAATGAAATGAAATGTATATGCATGTGTATTGAAAATACAATATACGTGGCTTTTCAGCACTAAAAATTTCGGAAACGAATCACTTCCAAACTTCAGTGACTCATACTTCAGTCCAAAAATGTTTGGCAAAGTTATAGAAAACTGAAAAGACCCTTTAATAATGAGCAGTGTGGTAGAATTTTAACTGTAGGTTTTCCAAAGCCACTTTGCTTAAAGTAAAGAGCATATAGCAAGCCCCTTTCACCACTTCCCAGGCCCAGGCGCAGCTGCTGCTGGCACTTACTGTATATTCTCTCTGGAGCAAGTTTGTTACATGTATTGACTTGCTCTCAGATGTACATCCCATCCACACCCCTGTTTATCTTCCAATCAGAGCCAGGAGAACTTTGTGTAACTGTGCATACATTGTTCACACAGTCATCCCAAAATCCTGCCAATAATTTCTGTACATCACGGTGCCATACCCAGAGTACTGTCCAAACTATCTGTCATGCCTGCCCTCTAGCCTGGAGTGTCTCTTATGTTCCGTTGCTATGGTAGATTCCAATCCGGGCTGCTCACAGCCTCCAGCTACAAGTCCATCCTTGCTGTGTCTGTGTGTGTTTCAGCTAATCAGCAATGCTTTGGCTCTTTTTATATTGGTTATTTTGTGGGGTGACCCCAGCACACCCCCAGTCCTAATTTCCCTCCAGAAATGTGTCCTGAACTGCCCAGCCGCCTTCTGGACAGGACAAGCTTATTTAAGCTCTGTCCTTTTATTAGTAGAAAGGATATGCACACATCTTGTTATCCCAAAGAGTGTTTCCTAAACACTTGAATTCAAACACACGGGGTTAAAAAAAACAATAAAAGCAGTTTGATTTTAAGGGAATACAAGTAATCTTTATATTTAAAAGAGTTTGTTCAAGAACTTCTCCTAAATGGTAAAAGCTAGGGCCACCAAATTTGATATGCAGCATTCTCTTATCATAACTTAAGGTCAAGGTTTGGTTGCGTCAGGAAAACAGGATGTGCCTGGAATGGGATTGCTTCCAATAAAACCATATAGGCCAAGCAGGTGAAAGGAGCTAGCTTACCTGCCCCACTCTCCACCCTTTAGGGAGGGCAGGGGGCCCTGAAGCTCACCCCACCAGATGGGGACATTGCTGGCTGTTCCCTTTTACCAGGGAGCGAGGGGAAAGTGCAGTTTGCTGCATTCCTCATAGTTTGTGTAAAGAATAATCTTCATGGGATTTGTATCCTTAATCTGCTTCGGATCATGCAGAAGTTCTCTCTTCTTGATGGAAAACTACTCGTATGTTTGCCCACATTCCTAAACATGCAGCTTCAAGTTGTCTGGAGACTTTCGTACTGTCATGAAAACATGTCAATTGCCTTTTCTGCTGTGCTTTATTACCATTCGTGGTGGGTTCTGATGGTTAGCTGTCTTGCTAACTTTGATCAGATATTGCCTTTCTAAAATTAGGCAGATCTGCTCTCATCTTTCAGGAACTTGCTTCCGATCACACATGTCTGTATCGAAGAAGGGGAGAAACCCATGGTGCTGCTGCCTTACATGAACTGGGGAAACCTTAAGCTCTTCCTGCGCCAGTGCAAGTTAGTAGAAGCCAACAATCCTCAGGTGAGAAATGGCTAATGTAACACCTCAGTGTTTTAACTGGTTGAACTTTCTGTGGACTTTAAAATCCAGCTGTGGAGACAGTACAGCAATCACTCTTCCAGGGCTGCATGAATGGGAAAGCCTGGTACATAATTGAATCTTAAAAGCAGCCATAGCAAGTGTATACTTCTGTAGTTCACAAGAAAAAGTAACTTTTCAGGGCATTTGTCACAGGCAGTTGTTGACGCGAGTGTGCTGCTAATTTCAGCAACTCCCTCTTTGGACTGCAAATTGGAAGTGTTATATTAATCACGTGTTTCACTTCACTTTCCATCTGTTTTCAGAATAATATTTCACAGCTAGACATCAGTTTCTTTTAAAATGTTAAGATCGTTTACCTGCCGCAGGGTGAAGTGCTCTGTTTAAGTTTATAGAGCAAGAACAAGAATTTCCAATATCGGTGTCTAACGTCTGGTCCCTAAATCTATAGTCAAATAGCTGGAGGGTTTAAATTCTAAGAAACCAACAGCCTCCTTTCACTGCCTTATGCGCCGCCTTGGCTATCGTGGTAACACCAGGTCCTGGCGGGCACGTTGCTAGTGAGGCAGTGCTCTGTTGTAACTCTGTCTGTTAATATGGCCGCATTGCTTAAGCCAGGTGTGCCTAGAAAACAGCAGTTCCTTGTAGGCGTGTGTCTAGACTACAGGGTTTTTTGAAAAACGTGATCTTTTTTCAAAAAAGCTTCACCTGCGTCTAGACTGTTGCCGTGTTCTTTCGAAATTAAATCGAAAGAATGCGGCAGTTTTTTCGACTGCGGTAAACCTCATTTTATGAGGAAGAACACCTTTTTTCAAAAGTGCTCTTCCAAAAAAAGGTGTTCTTGAATGCAAACAAGGCTTTTTTGAAAGCGAGCATCCAGTGCTCTTTTTCGAAAAAGCGAGCCGCTTTTTCGAAAAGTGTTTGCAGTCTAGACGCTCTTTCGAAGGAAGCTTGTAGTCTAGACATAGCCTAGGAGTCCTCTCTCATTCAGCATGCTTGGTCAGATGGCTGCATAGGCCCCCTTTACGTCCATGAGTGCACTGCTTTCATGCTGTGTGCGCACTGTCGTCATCTAGCCAGAGCTCGAGAATGGCCATTTCCTTAGAAAATCTTCCAGGAAACTTTTAAGAAAATGTTACGGTTGCAGTTTCTCACTCCACCCAGAAATGCCCAAGTTAAGACTCTACTGCAACTTTCACTCCACTTCTGTGGGTTATGCAACTGTTGAATGTTGGCTATACAATTTAGTTTCATACTTCTTTTCATGCGTATATTGGACATGAATAGCTGTAATAGGCTGTTTCTAATCTACACAGAACCACACAGTGGAAGATGCTATAGAGGTGTATCATTCTTAACTTTTAAAAAAAGGTTTGAAAAGCAGATTAGTCCATAAAATTAAATTATAATGCACCACAAAGGGGGTGGGGTGTTGTGTGAAACTTTTAACTTTTATCATTGCTTGAATGTTGGTTCCTTAACTGTGCAGACTTCAATGTTTTATTATTTTAATGCACTTGTTAGAATTAACATCCTTTTATCTCTATTTTTCTTGACCTATATTACAGTTTTGGGGGGGCAGTGGGAAGGAGAGGAAGTGTGGAATCTGTACAGTTTACCAGAAGTGCTTGATTAATATTACTAAATTTGAATAGGAAGGTTTACTAGCAAGTGTTCCACGAGTTTCAAGAGGGGCAGTGGAGAACAATAGCATTAAGAAAAACGCAAATGAGAAGTTTGCAAGCTAATTTGAGCATGGGGATATTTTCTACACAAGAGAACTTACTGTTGTGCAAGATGGAACATTTTAATAGTGTTTGTGCTAATGACATTTATAGTAAATGTTGGTCTGAAACAGAAATAAAATGGAACAAAACACTTGTGAGGAAAATCTGAACTCAAAAGGATTTATCAGCCACAGCAGATACGTGCCAGAGTGTTTTGTTAATTTTCCATACGGCTCCTCTTAATCTTCTCACAACACTGCCTGGCTTTCTCTACATTATTGACTTAGCTCATAAAAATAAAGTAAGTGGCATCTGGCTTGCTTAGGTCAATAAGTCATCCCTGCTTTGTACACTAAGTTCCAAGTAGCCAAGGGCTTTCTTCCTGTTCATTTCTGAGCTACTGTACTGTGAGCAACTGTGGGACTATGTTTGTGTCTGCTTCTGCTTTGTGACTTGATCTCTCAATTGCAAATGTCTACAGACTTCTACTTCTCCTTCCCAGGCTTCCAGAATTAGCCCATCTAGTCGAGTTTGTGTTCTGAGTTTTCACATAGGACTTGTTGCCCATGTGCCAAGGAAAGTGTAAAGGAAAACATTAAGCCAGTTTGATAAGTTTCTGTACTCTTGCTTTAAGTCCCTGTTAATCCAAACAGACATAGTGTTTTCACAACTGACTTGTTAACTAGCTCTGACTGTATTTTCTTTAATGTGAGATGAAAGTAAAAAGTGGGAAATAACACCATCAAATCTGAATCCTTTGAGTGAGCTATTCCTCCTTAATTTTTTCAAATACTTCAAAACAATTAATGTAGCGAACTTCAATTTAGCTGCCATACTTCTGTTTTCTCATCATTATCTGTGTCTTATTGAATTAATATGACCATTACAGTGGGTTTTTGTCATTTGATATTAGATTCAATATCTTTTATTGTAGCCCAGATTTGCAATGTTGCTACAGACCTTTGCACAGAAGCAGCACCACTGTGGCAGACGTTGTGAACAGGACACCTGAAGCACACATCTGTGGAAAGTAGTGGATTCTGCAGTAAATGCTGCAGAAGACATGGGGTCCTGAAAATGCTAAAATACTAAATCAGTGTCCATATCCCAAAGCAGGCCAGAAGACATAGTAAAGGTCTCCAAGCGCAGGCACATAGTAGCCTGTTTGTACATTTACATATACAAATTTAAAATTAAACATTGTCTACATAGCTCCCCTTTAATCAACACTGACAAAATTACGGTGGATGGGAATACATTTGAGCCTGCTGCTCCTTTTATATACTTGACTGTAGTCTGTTCCCTGAAAATTGGTGCTGCTTTTATGAGAAGTGTGTGGCATGGTGGCTGAAATTGTGGTGGATCCAGATACCACTTGGTCTCGATCCAGCCTTGCTTGATTTATGTGAAAAACTGTTTGGTGATAAGGAATATTAAAGCTATGACATATTTCAAAGCCAGTTTAGAGCTAAAAATAGGGCCTTTTCAAAAACTAAAGGATAAATGTTTTAAATAAGCTGTCAAGAAATACTAGGGAGCAATGACATTGTGTCCTAGAGAGCCAGTAGTTGCAGGTAATTTTTGTAGGTGAGATAAAATATGGAAAGGAAGGAATATTACAGTAGAGAGAAATTACCCAAGGTACCAGACCAAATTCTCTGTGTGTAGGATTTTGTGGTTGTAATAATTTTTCTGTGCTCTTGCAGGCAATATCCCAGCAGGATCTTGTACATATGGCTATTCAGATTGCGTGTGGAATGAGCTATTTAGCCAGAAGGGAGGTCATTCACAAAGACCTGGCTGCTAGAAACTGTGTGTAAGTCCTGTCTCTTAAGTTACTCTAATGGAGTGAGATTGTAGCCTGTCTGTGGTTAAGGCTGAGAGATGCTATCTGTTATAAATCTAATATTCCCATCTCAAATCATATCCTCAGATGTTTCAGATGTTGCATGTATGGTCTATGGAAGATGAAGTGAATCCGGTGAGCTATTTTGAGATGGGCTGCAGAAAAATAAGTGTTGTATTTTGAAAACCCTCAAAGCTTTTGTTCCTGATCGTGTATCTATGTTTTAGACTTCAGGTTAAAAAGGACTTGGTGAGCTCTAGTACTCAGTTTAGATTGTGTATTGCTTGTTGGTCCCTGGTAGACATCTTAAAATAACCAAATGATTAATGGAAACATTAGCTTACATTTAAAGGAAGAGAAAAGGTCTCAAAACAGTTTCCTAATGGGGCAAACCCTCACAATGTAAAAGTCATGACAGAAATTGGTGATTTTTTTCAAATAAAAAAAAAAAGTGCAGCGTGTCCTGCCCCCTCTAGTGCTCTCAGAAATCGGATCGGATCTGGTCTCCCCTTGATTCAAAAGCACAAAGGTCAGAGTTGGGATTAAATGTACGTATTTGAAGGTGTAGAAAGGAACAGTTGAGGCACTCGAGTCACAGCTGTAACTCTTGGAGAATTGCTCTAGGGACCATTAAAAAAGTGAGGCAATTTTGTCCCTCCACACCTGATAGCTAGGCCCTCATGGATCTCACACCCTAGAATGCCTTAGTCTGAAGTGCATGCTGTTCGCACTCACCCCAGCTGCTTTTATAGCCAGACATGATCCACAGAGAAACACTTCATAAGTTCCTGATGAAGCAGTCATTCCTCAGTCTTCTCTGAAATTCCACTTTCTGTGAATAAGTGGCTTTAGATGTAGAGCTAGTGGAGGTGTGGGTTACGAAATTGTATCACTTAGGTTAAAAGATGTCAAGAGAAGCAACTAAGTGCTGTGCCAAGAAGCCAAGACGCGCGTGAAAGTAATTATGAAACTAATGGTTTGTGGCTTGCATTTTTGATACTCCACCCATAAGCTATCCAAACATACATTCAGATGTAAAAGGTTTGAAAACTATTTGCAAAAATCTTAGGAGCCCTTATGAGTAAAAGTTGGAGAAGGAGGCAACCTGTGAACTTCTGTCTTTCTGTTGCTCATCTTTTGATAGCAAAAAATAATTTTGAAATCTCTTTATCCTGAAGTTGTGATATGTGCGGAGTGGTAACTGCAGCATAGCAGTGTTGTGATCTGTGGAAATGTTAGGTTTTAAAACATTGCTGACATAGCCAAGCTCATCTTTGAAGTTCCCTACATAGTCTTTTTAAAGATGCACTAATACAACTGTAAATAGTTCATATCTTGCATGACTAAATGCTCTTGTCTTTTAATCAGCATTGATGATGCACTTCAGGTTAAGATTACAGACAATGCCCTGTCCCGAGACCTGTTCCCCATGGATTACCATTGTCTGGGAGATAATGAGAACAGGCCAGTGCGGTGGATGGCTCTTGAAAGCTTGGTTAACAATGAATTTTCAAGTGCCAGTGACGTGGTAAGTTATATTGACATTTGCCAAAACAATTCATAACGATATGGGTTATTCCTTAAACGCCTTTCACACAGTTTTTTCATGAAAAAAGGAGTTGAATTGACAGTGCTGCTGGCTGACTGACATCCTCTGTGCAGAACATACATGTCCAGAATAGCGGCTGTACCTGCTCCCGGGACTCTCTGCCATGCTTATGGTAGCTAGCCTTCATGCAGAGGGCTTGCCCCTTGGGCAACAGGATTTGTTCATTCCTTTCCCATTGTGCTTTGGCACCGCTGAGTTGGCCAGCAGGGGTTTACGTGTAAATCCTGAAACTTTCTGAACAGCTCACCTGATTGAAGAACATGAATTCTTGTAGTCTGTTTTCTGTGCCTCTTAAGATGTCCTCTTCCTCCCAACTCTGCTTGTAGTGTCCACTGGCAATTGACTCTGGCTTTTGTTGGCTTGTCTTCTTGTAATGGAAGTGTGCGACTGAGCTACAATAGAATGATTGTAGCACGCAGGAGCAGTACTGAAAAGCAAGGCACTTTTTCCTGAGCACGTTACGCAGACAGCCTTCAGCTTGTCTTACCGCTCTGTTCCGTTTTAATGGCTCAGAATTACATACTGTACAAACCCTTATATTTTGCATTCCCACTTTCTTTAGACATGACTTGTGAATGTAATGCGTATGGAATTTGGCGTATAATGTATTATTACTCTTTTTACACTAAGCACCTTTGATACATTCATCACATGGATCAAGCTGGTACATTGTTGTTTTTGTTCCCCCAACACAACTGTGCAGTCACTAAAGTTGTGACATGTAGATCATACCATGCACTGAAAAAAATCTCCTTGCCGGTTCCAGATCAAATCTGCTTTTTTCAGTCTGTCCCGAGTTTCTTATTGAAGGACCTGTTCAAAGGAACGCTTAGGCTATGGCACTCCAATTGATAGCTGGGGTAGCTGAGTGCTGATCATCTTGCAGGATTAATCCCTTACGCCTTTTACTTCATGAACATTTTCAACAACTGGAGATACTGGAAAGAACTATTTTCCACAGTCCGTTGACTTAGTTGAGATTGTGCAGTACTAGGCAGTGATAAATGACTTGGCCATGTGATCTGTTTGTTCCTGTCAGAGGGTAATTTCCATGTTGTGTGTACATACTCTCATTCCACTGACATTTCCCATTCCTCTTGCATATTGCCATACTTCCTCGGTTGTTAATCAAGACGTTGAAATGGCAGCACCTCCATTGCAGAGTCTATTTTCTATTAGCATGAAAAGATCTAGGTATTTCCTAGTCTCTCCTAACATCTTGTGGCTTTTCTAATTTGAGCGATTCATTGGCAATAGCCAGCATTAACTGGAGTTAGTATATTCAGTGGAATTAGTACAATGTATTCACATCTTCTCCAGTACTAAACCTTGATTATTCAAGCATTCACTTGTGTGAGCATGTCCTGAGAAGATCATATAAGGATACAGTTTTCAAGTCTAGGTGACTTTGGCATCTGTGCCCTGAACTTTCAATGGGATTTGGACATTTAACTCACTTAAGCCCTTTTGAAACTTTACCGGAGGCCGCTTTCGGTTAGGAAATACTATGAACCACAACGAGCATAAAATAGTGCATGTCTTGCCACTTGTGTGTCATAGATTTGTAAGCGTGTATTGCTTCTAGCTGGGGATGCAAAAAGGCGCTGAAAAACTTAACTGTAACCGTGAAGAATTGTAGCGGTTCCACACGCTGTGGGCTCTGCCATATAAAGCTTAAATCAGCTTTATGGTGCAGAGCCTGCAGCAAAGTCTCCCCAGGAGCCAGCATGTAACCTGCATGGGGCAGGGTGGCAGGGAGCTGTTCCAGCCCCTACCGGTTAACTGCAGCTCACCCGTTCAGCTTAACTGGTTTTAACCATTTACATCCCTAATTCTGCTATAAAATAGCACAGTTGGAAGCAGCATGGTTTAGATTCACCCCTTGCCACTTGAACACTGTACTTATCAGCTGCAATTCTCTTGAGCCCCTTCCCTGGAACTCCCCAGTCTACAAACACTCCTTTTTATCACGACTGAAAAATGCCAGGGAGGCTAATGAATTTCCTGGCATTGACAGAAGTAGAGGCTTATTCTCAGGGGGTGTAAAGAATAATTATAATGGCGCCTTCCAGGCTGAAGTCTGTCCAGCAAAACCCGTCAATAGAGCAAGGAGGTCGGAAAGCAGTAGGGTCTCTCTCAAGGACCCTACAGATTTAAATGTTCCCCTTTTAACATTCAGTTCGGAAATATTTTGTTTTATACAGAATAAATGCAGCCACGCTTAACGTCTAATCGATCATGTTAATAAATTGATAGTACTGTAGCCACCTACTAGAGTACTGTAACGTGTCCAAATTAACATTCCTTCATCGTTTTACGAACATGGAAAGAAAGGCTTATCCACCCTAACTTCCCTCATATTGTTTCCCTTAGTCCTGTTTTACTGATCTACGCTCAGCTGCCTTCTCCTCCAAGAACAAATATTAGGTATCAACAGCATGCAACATGTTCTGCAGAGTGGTCTCTGAGAAAAAGGAAGGCGTGCTTTAACAGTTAAAATACAATTCCATCGTTTTACGAACATGGAAAGAAAGGCTTATCCACCCTAACTTCCCTCATATTGTTTCCCTTAGTCCTGTTTTACTGATCTACGCTCAGCTGCCTTCTCCTCCAAGAACAAATATTAGGTATCAACAGCATGCAACATGTTCTGCAGAGTGGTCTCTGAGAAAAAGGAAGGCGTGCTTTAACAGTTAAAATACAATTC